ACTGAGATAAGTGTTTTCGAGTAAAAACTCTCTGGACATTTTCGATTTTACTACGGTCGCAGGCGCTCATTAAACTGAAGTAAGGACAGCAGAATTCGGGCACTGGAAGAACAATCATTTCATACCGTCTTAGCTTTATTTATGGAGGGATAAAATTATGTTATATGAACCCACGTATCTGTGCAGTTATAGCAGAGATTCTATCTGCATAAGGTGATAAAGTATGCTTATTTGTATAATTTATGTCTAGGTCCTTTATAGGGAAGCCTTCGGAGAGTGGGTCGTTCTAAAAAAATAATGGGGCCTGAAAGCTTGGGCGAATGTGACCAGTGGTGTGCCGAAAGGCTCAGTTCTGGGACCATTGTTCTTCATCCTTTACGTTAACGACAGCCTTCAGGAACTCGACTGCGGCAAAATAATGTTTGCAGACGACGTTAAGCTCTGGCGAGTCATTAAGGGTCCGAATGATCAGAGATCCCTTCAAGATAATCTGCACTGACTGCAAGCGTGGTCGAAGGAATGGATTCTAGATTTCAATGTGGAGAAGTGTGCCGTCCTTCATCTGCGTCCAACCAACTCTCATTCAATTGAGAGTCTGAGGACTTATCACCTGAAAGATATAAGGCTCCCCGCAGAATCTTCACAGAAGGATCTCGGGGTTTGGATACAGAAGAACCTGAAACCAACACTGCAGTGCCACAAGGCTGCAAAAAACGCCATGGGAGTGCTGCATGCAATTAAAAGGGCTTTCGTAAATTTTGACCAAGACCTTTTGGGAGAGTTTACGGCACATTTGTTCGGCACCACTTAGAATATGGCATACATGCATGGCGGCCATGGCTGGTAAAGGACCAAGAATGCCTCGAACGGGTACAACGGCGTGCAACAAAGCTGGTAAACGGTCTAAAAAGCCAATCCTACACAGACAGACTGAATTGCCTTAATTTATTCCCTCTGTGTTACAGGCAGCAAAGAGGTGATCTTATCCTCGTCTACAAGATAATACACGGCCTTGAGCATGGGCTTAAGTTTGAGGACATGTTTCAGTGGCACCTTTCACCCAATCTTCGTGGTCACTCGATGAAGTTACGGAAAACAATGTCCAGGCTGAATCTTCGTTCTGAATTTTTCACGCAGAGGGTAGTGGAGAAATGGGACGATCTCCCTCAGTCAGTCGTGGAGGCTACGTCCCTGCAACTCTTCAAGAAACGCTTGGATGATTATTTGTGTCCCCTGTTTTCCCTCGACAGTCTGAATCTGAATTAATACCCCTGGTCCAGACAAATATTTTCTCTGAGACAATGCTACTCAAATGAACCAAGTACTGTTTTAATAGTGAACATTTTTTGTTCGTGTACAGTTATTCCAACGAGCTGACATGTAATCAATAGGGTTTTCAAAAAAACTGAAAACCAAAAGACATAAAACTACACTTAGACGATGAAAACTCCATCTGCCACGATGTAGCGGCCGAGGACGTCAAGGGTAGCACACACCACGTAACGGAATACCGAGGAAGAGATCCTGGCTTGTGTTGATCTGAATACGATTGTTAGCAGTTCACGATACTCATCCATACATAAAGGAAGAAGAAACGATCGGTGGACGAGAAGATATAATTAACGGAAAAGGGAATTGCAAAGGAGCATAATGACAGTTAAAAGTACAAACGGGATGAGTTACAACAGTCGAGTGACCTGTCTGGGTGGAGAGGCGAGGCCAACATGCTAGCTGGAAAACCGGTGGGGAACGCAGCGCTGGGGGCAACTGCAGGGAAGGGCCGAGGTGGTTGCCGATGTAGCGAGGGAAGCGATACGAGCTTTACGTCACGATAAGGAGCGGGGGAAGGGATCGGCGGAAGAGAGAGGAAGGGACACCAGCCATCTTCACCAACATGCGACTACGCCATCTCCATCCTAGGTCTGCGCGCCAAAAGTGTCACGACATTCAAACAACTCTGTTCTTGCCAAGGGGCGTTACAACGGTGAAATCCATCTGCTTAAGCCTAGTAAATCGGCATTAATTTTTTCAACACCAGCATTTGCGATGGCAATAGAGTATGAACAAACACACTTGAGGTCATCGGCATAAGTAAACGTTTGATAATTTCTGATTCCAATAGAAATATCATGGATGTAAAGAAGGAAGAGTAGCGAACCCAGTGTCGTGTCTTGAAGTACGCCACTCCTGATCAAGGGAGGTTTCGTGTGGCTATTACCAACCGTGACTTTCTGATAGCGGCTGGGTGGGTAGTCATGTGTACTGAACGACATGTTAATTACCTTCCTTACCTATTCGAATATGATTGAATAGTCATTTACGAAATACGGAATCGCAAATTTCGTATTAGTATGGCTGGCGGTTGTGACATTATTTACCAGGTTTCTAGACACTAGCATTCCTTTCGTGCGTCTGCGGATTCGCAGTGCTTGCGGGTGACTTTATTGATAACAATAATATGAATTTTAGAAGAAAAGTTTGACCTCGTTAAATTTCAGCTTATCTAGTTTGTATATAAAGCTGCTTTATGCCCCCTATTTCACTTATAACTTCGGAGCGATTGGCCGTGTTGTAGGTTTTGAACATATATCCGCGAAATCCAGCTTAATTTATTACGTACCAGCTTTTCAACACCCTATTAACAACGCAAAACACAAGACCGTGTACAGATAAATTAAGTTCTTTTGAAGAGATCAGAACAAGTTCCTGTGAATCTGAACACGAATCTGAAGGAGATTGTCCAATTTGTCCTTTTAAAGTCACTTTGTGACATGACTCGGTGAAGGTTATTTGTGAATCCAAATTGACGCCATTAAATCTGCGGGGAGGCACTCAAAACACTGGCCGTCACAACTGAAAATGAGAGCCCGCGTATATCCAGACCTAGCTAACAACCGTGATGTTTTCTTGGATGAAGTGAAAGGTCACTTGTGACAGTGAACTCGAAAACCTTACCAGATGTTGGGCCGCAAGTCAAAGCGTTCACAATGCGCAATTCTTGCAAAAATGCCGATAAACCTGCCAATAAATCGGAAAGAAAGGCTAGGCCTGTTAGGTGGGTTACATAGAGCAGCAAGCCTCGTCCGTTAACTGTCTTGATAGTCCCTCTTTGAACCCTATCAAGGTACGTTTGGTATCGCGTCGACACCGGTCTCCAGACATGTGTGGTGTAGTCTGAATGCGACTTAACAAATTCCCGTAGATCTTGAAAAGGAGATCTTCATCTAAATTGGCAAAGGCTGCCTTGAAGGCGCGCAATACAGATAATGGGGTTTGCTCCATTCGGGCAGTTTACGGATTGCCTGTAGGAGCTTGACGTCACCATACTGAAACCATTCTGGGCTTCTACATCTTGTAAACCTGTGCTGTTTGGGACAATAGTCTCTTTATTCGCGGAGCTGGTTGGGTTAATCAGACATTATGATGCACAATCACCAATGTTAAACGACAGAAACCAGTAATTTAGCCATTCTTCCAGTCAATCTAGCTCAGTCTGCACACATCAAGAGCGTTACGGTTTACACTATAAATTACAATATCGTCCGCACAGTGCTATTCTTCAGTACATGTATCTTACACAGTCGTGTACACAAGATATAAAAATGGGTTCCAGTTATTAGCTCTGGAGTATCTCACTCTCGACAGCTGTAGAAACGGATTTTTTGTAGTTGATATAATGAACCCGGATACGGGCGGAAATGAGATTGTTGCTTTAGTTGCGGAGGTCTTCTCTTATGGCTATTATGTCAGGTCCGCAAAACTGTCGTTTTCACAAAATACTAGCTACTAATCACTGTGAAGTAGGATCCTACACACAGGCATATTATATTTCCCAAAAAATGCAGAACCACTGAAATTTTAAGTCAGTAATAGTGATTGCACACGCAGGACAGCTAAAATTGGTCAATAAAGGCGGCGTATTTATTCAAGCAACTCTTTTTCGTCAACTACAGGATCAGGAAAGAACCTATCCACAACGAAATGAACTAGCAGCAGTTATTCTAACCAAAGTTAATTTTAATGGGGCAACGATTAAAGTGCTGGCAAACAGTTTTTAAGCATAAACTCCTTTTCAACTGATACAGTCTTTTATGAGTTTCCATACATGCACATGCCTCAATTCCCTTTTCTTTACTATCCCCGCTGCGAATGCACTTTCCTCGACAAGCGTTATTACTTTAGTATCCCAGTGGTTTGCTATATTGGTGGTGCGCAGTGGACGCTTAACCGGATTGATACTAAGCAGAAATATCTAAACGGAAAAACTCTTTACGTAGCTCAAACTTCAGAAACGCAGATCGGCAGTATTTTCGTTCGTTTTCCGCTCGAAAATAGTTTTTTTCTATCGTGCACTGTAGTCCGCGAACAACTAAGGAAAAACGAAAAGATTTGTGTTCAGGGCTAAGTTAATGGAGTGAAGTTAGAGTTATTGAAGGGACTTAAGTACAGCGAAGTTAGGGATGCAAGGTATAACAGTAGCTGGAGATGATGTCCTGAAAAACACTGAAGCCGATTATACAATATTTAAGAATTCATGGACGTTGCGCGTATGTCGGTCCATCTCGGAGGCAAAACTGGCGCCCCAACGCCTAGAAGCAATAAACTGAGGAGATACGATCTCGGCAACAAAAATTTTAGTTGCCTGACGTTTCAGATTTACATTTGATTCCCCATCAGAGGCACCAACAGACAAAAATAATGGGTATTTAAGGAGTGCAGCTGCCATGCCACCACCCCTTATCTGCGCCCAGACCGTGGCTTGCAGATGCCCAACTTACAGTCCAAACGATCAAACAAACGACAATTCCCGTCCCCCCATACGCTGCTTGAGCAACTCTGCCCATTCTGTAGCCTGGCGTTTTCGTTATCGTCTAGGTAGCCTGAAAAGAAACCGGCCGGATAGAAGGACGGTGGTAGTCGCTCGAGAACTGGCGTGCTATAAGGTGAACATAACCGCTTTTAAAGAGAATCGCTTCTTCGGACAAGGCCCTTTGGAGAGGATGGGCGCCCGCTGTGCCTTCTTCCGTAGCGGCCGCCCAAAGGAAGAGACACGCTACGCTGTCGTCACCCTTGCCAACCTGAACGACATCGTGGGACGTCTACCCTGTCTGCCGCAGGGCATCAACGACGACTCATATCCCCACGCAAGTCTCTTCGGGCAACCAAAGTCGCCTCCATTATTAACGTCTATGTCACCCTTTGAGCAAATCCACCAAGGCGAGGAACGAATTCTGCGAGGATCCTCACGCCTTACTGGCGACTGTGCCGAAGACTCCTCGTCGGGACAGACCAAGCTGCCTGGGAGGGAGTGCTGGGTCTACATGCAATCAGGGGCTACATCGATAGCGGTCTCCGTCCTCTGTGGAGCTTCGTAAGACACTGTCTCCTCCTCCTCAACACATTATTCCGCCCTCCGAATTGGGAGAAGAAACCTGGGTGCACCCCCGTCGCGGTGCTGGCAGCTGCTGCACTATAGTCTCGTCCGGAGGCGAGATCGACAGGCGTTGGTGACCAAAGCAATCTGCGACGCCGGTGATTGGACGGATCAGCGCTCCCTCATCGCCATGATGTGGCTGAGACTATATTTTCTCAGATGACAATTAGGTTAGCATACTGCTTAGAATCTAGTAATTCATTGATCAATTGACTCGAGGAACTGCAGACAACACCACCTCGAAGAAACAGTGAGGTCAATTGCGGAACGCCATCCACTGCTCCGCCCAGGACATCCTCGGTCGCCCACGCCGTCAAATCTGAAATCAGTTCGACGACCACGACGAGGGAATCTTCAATCTGCTTGCCGAGAAGAATAGACCGCACAAACAATACATCAAATTCCGTACCGACGCGAGTAAGGCCGCCTACTTTATATGCCACCGTTTGGTGCAGCAACGACTGCAGAGATACAAGTCGCCTGGATGCATCACAGAGTCGAGGGAATCCAAGTGCTCGAAGACCGCAAAGAAACGAAAGACGCCTTCGTCTCCATCAAGGCATTTTACGGCCACTGTATCAAAGGGCCGCGCCTCTGCTCCCCTCCAAAGGAAGAAAACTTTTGATGGAGAAATCGCAGATTCCGAAGAGCTCTTAAGAACCACCATTAATTGTCTATCTTGGATCTCCGACGCAGCCATTGACCGAGTCTCTCAAGTGGAAGCGAAAAACGAAGTGGATTTCTAGCACTTCCTCTCGGAAACAGGTCGGACGTCTAACAGGAAGGCACCAAGATCCGACGCGATCCTTGATGAAGTCCACAAGCATGGCAATCTATAACTAATGTACAAAATTGCAGTGCTGTTCGGGGAGATTTGGCGCCAAGGACAAGTTCTCCAAGATTTCAGGGTAGCGACAGTCGTCCACCTCTACGAGCGGAAGCGGAACTGGCAGCCATTTTGTACTCAAAGGGGAATCGCCCGCTCAAAATTGTCAGAAAGATGTTCATTTATATTCTACTCAACCGTCTCAGTGAGTACCTGCAATATAGACTTCTCCCAGAAAATCACTGCGACTTCCGTCGACACCATGGAATCACCGACATGATCTTCGCCGCCTGTCACTCACACTGTGAATTCCGATGGATTCAGAGAAACAATGCAGAGATTTGGCTGCCCTGAACGATTCATGCACATGATGCGTCAGCTCCACAACGGGATGTTGGAGGTGTCACGAGCAATGGGACTGTCTCAGAGGCATTCGTAATAACCACTGGAATGATGCAGGGCTGCATACTTGCTCGCAGCATCTCCGTTCTCGTGTCATCTGCTTTCCTGATGGCTGCCTACCGCGATGGGCGCCTTAAGATCAGCATCGTCTATAGGGCTGAAGGTGAGTTGTTCAATACTGGACGCATACAAGCCTCAACACGTCTATCCACGACTATTGTTCTCGACCTGCTCTTCGTAGACGACTGCGCATTCAGCACCGAGAGAGAACTACATATGCAACGGAACATGGACCTGTCCAGGTGCGATGGTCGACAGCTTGAAGTTTCCCAAAATAGAAGAGAGAGAAGAATCAGAATCGCACATTGACCTCGTGCACCCAATCACACAGAGGCTGGCGAACCTGTGCCTGGAGCTTTAACATGCACCAGTCGTCATTGCCTCAACTATCCCCACCCATTCATTAGCCGAATTAGCCTACTCAGTCACATTGGCCTCCATGTACATTTGCGGAAAACCACAAATTTCCCCACCAACACATGCGACACGTCCGACATCACACACCACAGGCATGAAATCGGCACCCTCTACGTATACTGGAAGTGTACTCTTCGGCTCCTCCATATGAGATGTCACCCGCCCATCCTCCTTGCGTGAAGTCATGACGTGTTATGTGGAAGCCAGGTCGCGTGTGTTGGACGCACAGACCGGCTGCTTTTAGCTCTATCAACCACCTCTTCCAATCCCAGTATTAGCTGGTTGACCAGCTCACACAATCGATTGGTCCACAGGAAAGGGAAGACGACGAGATCAACTCTCTGCGCATAGTTCCCACTATGAACAGTCGGATGCACTTGAGGCCATCACGAGGAGCTAGAAGCCTGGAAGTTTGCCAACTGACGATCCAACTCACATCTTGCATTCACTCTCATCTATGCTTTTTTACTGCCCGACTGGTAGACTGAGAGTTGGACTGCGATCGCTCCGTCTCAATGTGGTGTTTGTGGTATTCCAGCCCAGTGTGGATCCGTGTCGCCTTTTTGTGTAAAACCCTGGCCAGTTGTACGTGGTGGATTAGGGTTGTAGCAGCAGACCGAGATGCGGGCTCACACCGCGCCAGTTACCCGCAACTTCTCCCGTCTCCAGTCGTCTTGACTCGGTCGTGACACCGGGCCCAGGTAGTGGTTGGGGTAGAAGAGCGCGCGTAGATGCAGCGCAAGTCTACTCTCACTATGAACCAATTCATCCGCAAACCGCCGTCTCTGTGCCCACCCTACTGTGGAACATACGGTTGGCATAGTCAAACTCGACAGTGGCAGCTCCCACAGCCAGCGCCGATGGCCGCACGTTGTGTGATGATTGCTCGTTGGCGCACGCCCGAGTCGTTACTTGCCGCGATTCGATCTTCAGTGTTGGTTATTGGCGCGATAATTACATGACCATTTGTTTCCCTGACAGTGGCACATGAAACAGCGTCAGACCCCGCGCTCCTCGCGTGACAAATTCTCAGCACTGAATATGGAGTGGGAAGATTATGTCACCTAGGACCGGCGAATCATGAATGAAGCAGTTCGCAGTCCACGCGGTTGTCACCTATTGTGAGAATTTCGGTCCCGCCGAACCTGAAAATTAGGCCGGATTCCGTCGAATAAGCCTAGTATCATTCCTCCTTACTGCTGCTTCTGCATACTCGGTCATCCGCGTACAAAGTAATATTTCAGTTTCGCCGGCGTATTTGTCCAGTCCACAGCTGTACCGGATCCAGTAGACGACTTTGTACTTTTTGCTACGACAATATGACATTTAGCCTCGTCTGTCGACACCCCATAGTTAACTCCGGTTTGTGTGAAATTCCAACCCAAAGTTGGTTGGGCCGGGGGTTCCGAGACGTTCCTTGCGTACGCCTTCGACAGCTCCCCACGAAAGATTAACAGCTAAACTGACGAAATATGCTGTGCAACCCCTCTCCCTGTTCTTCATAAATTGTACCCACACAAACGCCGTAGGATAGTAAAGATCCGAAACTACGTTCTAGGGGTTGCTCCTATAACGAGCGGTAAATTTCAAAATTCTTCCTATTTATCAGATGCGTTTACAACCTGTCGTTCATGGCAACAATAGCAAAACCAGTTGTATATGCGGATGCTCTAAAACGCTGATATGCATAATGTAAGCCCACGGAGGCTGGTACACAAAATATTCACGGCAGACCTCGAAAAGCCTAGCAATTAGAATACTAGGTTATCAGCTCCATACTCGTCGACAACATGTAACTTCCTTGTATTCAGGTTAGAGGAACACCCATGGATATATTTTGGCAATGCTGAAATTAAAGAAACACCATTCACCTAGAGGTGAGGGGTGGGATTGTGCAAATACACTAAATCTAATACCCAGGCTAACGGAACTTCATTTTCACACGTCTATGTGACTTAATATGTAAATACTGCACTTCAAATGCACTCAAGCTCCAACTTTACAGTCCGCGAGTTTTACCTCTTCTGGATTACTACCCCATCTTCTTTGGCACAACGCCATTAGAGGGCCAGGAACGCTTTGTCAGATCGCCACCTAAACGGTCTACAAAGCTGTACAATAATCACAGTGTTGAGCCATTGTTGGAATAGATGGGAACAAAGCTCTCTGCTGGAAAATGTCGGTTTACTTCACTGAGGAAGTCCTGTGCAAGTTAATTATCCATTTCTCATGAACCGAAAAGCCTCTCCACACTAGCTGCTTAAAAAGGACAAAGAAGTAGGCAACATCTCCATTGACAGTTAATTATTGCTGAATAAAATGAAGACAAGCTAGGACCGTTTAGTTGTCGACTTTGATCTGTCAAGGGGATCGGGGTAAATCATTGGGCATGGCCCTATACCAAATGAACCATCAGTCCAAGCTCTATGGGCTACCATCAGCAACATTCAAACAAGTGAACGTTAGTCCCACGCGGCTGCGACCTTCTGACCTTCATGTGAGACACGTGACGAGTATGACGAAGCCGTGCGTTCCCACTACTCTGCAGTGTACTGATGATCTAATAATATTGTTAAGGCAGAACTCATCTACTGTGTCTTCGTTTTCGCTAAATTCGAATCACTCCGTCTAGACGAAATGACAATTTACGCACGAGCCATTAAATCCCTGGGCTCCCCTTGAAGATCTCTAATCACCTGGGATTACCTTTCAGAAAATCAATTCCAAGTGCTATAAATAAAGTGGAGTAGATGCCACCAGGACTGCTTTTATTAATCGATAGCAAGTGGTTTTCGAAGACGCGTAGGCAAGAGGGCGAGCTCGCCGACGGAGTTTAGGTTTCCAAATGCCTTGAGACTTTGGAGCTCCCCAATCCCAACCGACACTTAGGATTTGTCAAACGTATATCCAACGGTGACGAGGATGGCTTAAGCGGTCGTTTGCGCGTCTGACCTCATGTGAGGCTATGCTTCGCTGTCGCCCCCAGCACGGGTATTCGGTACAAAGTCAGACGCCAACAGACATGGTCGATAACGAGCTTTTGTGCACACTCGGGCAAGGGGAAGATGAGTGCCAGCGTAGTTGAAAAAGACCTAATCAGCGTACGAGGCAACATGGCCAGGGGCCCGCGCAACGGATTTCCAATGTATGCCTTGCAGGTGAACTCCTTATTCGCTCTTGCAAGGTACAAGCAAAAAAAGGGGGGGGGAGGCGTGCGCCACTGCGACTCGTCTGCA